TTAGTCAGTTTTAATCACAAATTCTTTCAAGTTGATAAATGTGCTTCGGGGCATTTGTAACTCATTTATAGAAACTCTTTGTTTTGAACTGTAAGTAGGCCTAAACAATAGAATAATCCCTTACTAAGAACATGATTTCACTCATTCTTCACAATTAAGAAACACCAAATCCTACAATTTCATCGGTTGAGAGCACTTTGCTATATTCTAAATAAATGAACCAAATAAAATGACCGACAAACGTTACAGTATTATCATCTAGTTTGCATTTCTTCAATAATTCTAAAACTTTCTCCAAATCAAAATCTTTCCGTTCTGTGTCGAACATTATATCCCGTTTGCATGGTTTGTTCATTCTGTATGTCAATAAATGTATCGCCAGCTTATGTATGTTTATCTTTATAAACCATGCATACGTGAATATACCCCAAGCTATTTTAGCCTTTGTCACAATGAGGTCATGGATAACCTTTAACGGATTGCAATCTACGTTAATCGATAAACGTACCGATTGAGCTTTATCAATTATATCCTTGAATTAGGAAATATATTTTTAAGTACTGTTCTAACGGATATAGACGTCGTTGTGTGACTGAAAGTTTGAGGGTCTGGACGTGGTTCGGGTTTACAGAATAGAGAAAAATAATAGGTAAAAGAGGGCACAGAATAAAGCACAAAAAGATAAAGAATAGGGAAAAAAAATTAAAAATAGAGAATAACAGGAAGCTTTAATATACAGATTAGAAAATATTGGACATAATAAATGAGGAATAGAAAAATGGTCTAAACAATTAAAGAATAGAGAAATGAAGGACTCCATCCAGACCCTCATTTTTGACTCAATATGTTACACTGTCAAAGGAAAATAATAGGCACTTTACTTTTTGTTTTATTTATATTACATATATGTTTATTTTTATTTATGATTTTGAATTTGAATTTTTTATTCCAAACAAATCAAATAAGTATTGTACTAAACAACGATTATATGCAATGTTAAATTTCGTTAGAGAGTCTATGTGCACTGCATGAAATAAATAATAAAAGTAGATACACTACCTATATAGATTGTGGCTAGTTTTGAATGTCTAAAAAATATTTTATTGTGAGAAACATGACTTTTTATTTGTTTGATGATCTAAAAAAAGGGGGGATTATTCGATCATTTACCTTTTACGTTTATCGATATGGTGATTAAACAGGAAAAACGTACCTATTCAGCTTTATCAATTATGTCCTTGATTTAAGAAATATATTTTGAAGTACATCCGTTCTAACGGACAAAACTGCATGTGTGAGGGTCTTGGTGTTTGTTTGGGATTACAGAATAGAGAAAATAATAGGTAAAATGGACACAGAATAAAGAACAAAAAAGATAGAGAATAGAAAAAATAGACAAACAGAAAATGAATTACAGAGAATAACGGACGGCTGAAATATACATATTAGGAAATAATGAGCAAAATGAATAAAGAATAGTGAAAAATAGTCTAAAAATATAATAGAAAAGAGTAATGCATAGCCCTATCCAGATCGTTTTTCATTGTCAAATGGAAACCATACTTTCTGTTTTATTTATATTACATGTAGGTTTAAATTTATATTTACGATTTTGATTTTGAATTTGTATTTTGTATTCCATTTTATCGTCACTTAGAAAATTTTATAAAAAAAGTGTCAAAGTAGTCACATGTGTAAGATCTTTAGACTTAGATTTTCTGAAACAATGGGTTTAATATGCATGAAGTATTTGCCACTGGACGTTAATCAGAAACCAATAAAATCATTCCGCTGTATTTGATCCAAAGTATACAAGAAATGCTATCAGATTAAAATGACATCATTTATATTATTCCACTATAAATGTAAATATTGATAGCTAAACGAACATTTCATTGGTTGAGACTGTCCCATGTGATATTTAACAAAACATCATATTCCCCTCTGAAAATCATATTCAATTGTCATATTCCCCTTATTCGAATTTCTCAAGATTATACTAGAGTTATCCTTCTTTGAACAAAAAATAATGAATTGAAAAGTCTAGAGAGCTTCCGAATATTTTTGTTTGTAAACAAAAATGGCCAAACGATTTCATGTGGCAGACGACGATGAAATTGAAGAATTGTTACAAAACAAAGATTCACTAAACACAAAAAAAGTACTGCAGTTGCAGTTAAATGTTTCCGACAATTTCTTGAGGAGAGTGGGAGGGAAAACACAAAATTTGAGGAGTATGAACTTTCAGAACTCGACGTTGCACTGAAGAGTTTTTATGCTGGTGCTCGTAAATCTGACGGAAGTTTGTTCAAGAAATCGGCTATTCAAAATGTCAAATACGGATTAAAAAGATACCTACATGAAAAAAGAAACATTGACATAAACAAGGACAATGAATTTACCAAGAGCAATTTGATATTCCAAGCAGTTAAGGTTGATTTAAAGCGCAAGGGCTTTGCTAAAGTTGATCATTATCCTGATATTTCTGAGGAGGATTTACAGAAACTTTACAGTGGTGATACCCCTGTTTTTGACGTCAATACTCCTTATGGTCTCCAGTTCAAAGTTTGGTTTGAGTTAATGCTTTTCCTGTGTAGAAGAGGTCAGGAAAATTTACGTACAATGACCAAAGATGCATTTCGTGTGAAAAAAGATGCAAGTGGTATGAAATATGTTTACCAAAACAAGGATGAACTAGACAAAAATCATAGGGCCAACACTGATCCATCTGACTCAGTTACAGAAGGAAGCTTAAGGATGTACGAGAAGAAAGGTAATTTTCCTATTTCTTATTATTTTTGTGCATATATACATGTATTTTAAGACATTTGTAAGAAGATGTGGTATGTCCAATGAGACAACTCTCCACTCAGCGACCAAACAAAATAGAAGTTTACAACTATAGGTAACTGTACGACCTTCAACAATGTGCAGAACCCATACTGCAGAATAATCCTTGCTTGGTAGATATATTATTTAGTAACAAAATGTATAAATTTATGAATAGAATAAAAAAAAAAAATATACTTTATATATGAATTGGCATAAAATACATGAAAAATGCATTATTGCTGAAGAAAAATTACTATACGCGCACAAGAATATTAAAATAAAAACATTAGAACAGATCTTTGACTGCGGTTTTTCATCACAGAGTCTATAAATTCAATTCAATCATGTCAATTATGATATTTCAAAATAAAGAAATTACAGAAAATTTACTTAAATACATGTATAACTGTCAAAAGATAATTAACATACAGAATCAGTAAAATTACATAAATTTTGTCAGATGGTTTCTAATGAAATTGCATTCATTGTAGTTTTAATGTCTAATATGCTTTATTAAATTGCTATCAGAGAGAAAAAAACAAACAAAATCTAGTATTAAATATTTTTATTAAATTTTTCAGGTGATTTGAAATGTCCAGTAGCTTCTTTTGAAAATTATATTTCAAAATTGTGTCCAGAACTTGAAGCTTTATGGCAAAGACCAAAAGCATCCTTTGATGTGGGTGAATCTACATGGTATTGCAAATCTCCTCTTGGGAAAAACACTCTGGCTGGTATGATGTCTGAAATATCTCATATTGCTTTATTGTCTATGGCATATACCAACCATTCCATTAGAGCTACCAGCATCACAGTAATGGATGTAGGAGGGGTAACAGGTCGTCACATAATGAAGGTGTCTGGTCACAGAAGTGAAAATTCATTAAAATCCAGTTTTCTTGTGATGAAATAACTAAACATTTTGCTGAATCTAATATGGCAATGGCATGTCCCAGTTTTCTTGTGATGAAATAACAAATCATTTTGCTGAATTTAATGTGGCAATGGCATGTTGCAGTTTTATTGTGATTAAATAACCAAACATTTTCTGAATCTAATATGACAATGGCATGTTCCAGTTTTCTTGGGATGAATATGACAATGGCATGTTCCAGTTTTCTTGGGATGAAATAACAAATCATTTTGCTGAATTTAATGTGGCAATGGCATGTTCCAGTTTTATTGTGATGAAATAACCAAACATTTTCTGAATCTAATATGGCAATGGCATGTTCCAGTTTTCTTGTGATGAAATAACAGATCATTTTGCTGAATTTATGTGGCAATAGTATGTCCTAGTTTTCTTGTGATGAAATAACCAAACATTTTGCTGAATCAAATGTGGCAATTGCATGTTATAGTTTTCTTGTGATGAAATAACTAAACAGTTTGCTGAATCTAATATGGCACTGGCATGTTCCAGTTTTCTTGTGATGAAATAACAAATCATTTTGCTGAATTTAATGTGGCAATGGCATGCATGTTCCAGTTTTATTGTGATGAAATAACCAAACTGTTTGCTGAATCTAATATGGCAATGACATGTTCCAGCTTTCTTGTGATGAAATAACAAATCATTTTGCTGAATTTAATGTGGCAATGGCATGTTCCAGTCAAGAAATGGCTTTGTTAGTTTGTTTTCCACATTTGAGTTTGATTGTCCCTTTGGTATATATTTTCTCTTTTTTATAATGATTATTATTAAATACTCTCACTCAGGCCTTATAGCAGCATTAGTCTTGTTCGAAATCTACAATGGTGTCTTTTATGTGCTAGGCAGTAATGGTAGAATTTTTCAATAACTCTGTCCATATCATTAACTTTGATATATGTATGATTGCTCCATTGTAAGCTAAGAAATTTTTCCATATGATGTGAAAACTTTCTGGTTACATATATACAGTCATTTGTTTAAATAGTAAAATGTCCAATATCACTGCACACAGATTTTTTGTTTACGCATTAAATGTTTGTTCCTCATCTTGAAGCACATTACAGATATCAACTCAAATGGCTTTAAATTATAAACCGAAATAATTATAATCGCAAAGGTCTCTTTTTTTCAGAATTGCATTTGTTCCTAACTGTATTAAGAGCACAAGGTACTGATGCACTGAAAAATGAAGCACTTTTTCCTGAATTGCTCTTATTAGATACACTACATTGTCCTAAAATGATGGCTGTATTGGATGGTCCATACTGAGTGTAGGATTCGAATTTAACCCATTTCTTATGCCTCTTTGCTGCCCAAACAAATTTTCTATTATATCAGAATTGAAATATCCTGGGTTTATACTGTTGCCTTTTCCTAACATTAATTCACATAACGAAATGAATCCAGTAACAGAAGAATTAATATCGTCTCTGGTCTCGTGTGTAATTAAATTTTTGGAAACCATATAAAGAACAGAATCTGTAATGTTTCTTTCCCAATCATTAAAGAATTTTAATGTCTTATTCAGGGATTGAAATCTACTGTCACATAGGGGAAAAATTGGTTGATTATAATTACAAAAAATATCAGTTAAAATAGATGTGTGTTCCAGAAGTGAAATTGCTGAGGACAGTCGTTCTGGATCATGCAGTGTTGCCTGATAGCTCTTCATAAAAAATAGCATGTTCTTATCAAGAACATCAAGCGCTAATTGAGTTCTCATTTTGGAGGCCGGAGTGAGAGTAAAATGATCCTCGGTTAATTTTTTATGAATACCAAATCCATTTTGAGTATTAAAATGGAAACATTCCAGCCAGTAGTCCCATACTATAGGTTGATTCAAATATAAATATCTCCCCTGTTTTGTGTTATTTTCAAGTTTGCTAGATTCTATATTGTTTCTTATTCTTTTTAATACATGCATGATGTCTTGAATTGCGCACATGGAATGATTCATGTCAAAAACATCCAAAAATTTAAATTTCTGTTCCCTCATGTTTGAGCTAAACAGCATAGAGGTAAATGCTCTGTTGGTTGAGGCGCCATCTGCCATCATGTAATCCACTGTAAAACCATGTTCATCAAGAACATCAACACACTTCCAGTAGGTTGAGCACAGCTGGTGTGCAGTGGCAGTGTTTGAACCAAAGTAGGCAACAGGCCATCTGAATCCTGTGAGTCCATTGCACACAAATTGCAATGCATGCGTTGCCAGCTGAACTTTCTTCTTTCCATTGCATATAATGTCTATATTATTATTTGTGCTGTCCATGTCTACCATACCAACCAAACTCCAGCTGTCTCCTGTCGTCTGTATAACCAGGTCATCTTGGAATGGCATTTCGTCAATAATCAAGCCACCATGTTTGCCAAATTCAGACACTTGCTTGTTGTTGGCCTCCTGCTTCATCAATTTCAAATTGTTCCCATTGAAACAGGTGGTCTGTTTTATTGAGTTTTTATAATATTGGAGTAATCGTTTGGATGGTAAAACGAGCAATCCAGATTTTGTGAAATCTTCATAACCTCTGGGTGATCTCAAATACAGAGCGAGACAAACACTTATTACTTGTGGATCCCACCGCCGCTGATGTACCTCTAAACCTTTCCTACAGTTCTGAAGTTGAGATTCAAAAATAATCTTAAAATTTTCTGGAGCACCCCTTTCAACAATTTGATCTAAAATATTTGCCATGTCATTATGATCTTCAACTGTAAGCTTTATATCTGGATGTTTATTTTCCTCAACCTGTGGTAATTTACATGTATCTATATTTATATTTTGTTCTCCTAAAACTTTAGGTTTTTTTTCATATTTACCAATTTATTCATATTTGTTCCTTTTCTTTTACGGTTTATTCTTATTGAATTAGTACATGTATCGCATACTTCCTTTTTTGTTGACCAAACCAAAAGAGTTTTACAGGATTTGGACCAGACTCTTCTACTTCCTGAGTTCTCCAAGTGTAATTCAGAAAGTTCACTTACATCAAGTCCAGATGACTCATTATCAGCAGCTTCCATTTCATTGCAGAATTTCATCATTGAAGCTAGATGGACAACACCGTCAACATTAATCTGACGAACTTCTAGCTTCAAGCCTACTTCAATGGTCAATTTTCTTACAATTATTTTAACTTTGTCATTTATAAATGAAACTTCAACATATTCCTGTTGTCCATTCATAAGGGTCATCATTGGTATTTGAAGTTTGAATTCTGTGTCCATTGATGAAGATTTGACACATTGGGCTGGTAAAATTATGCTAGTTTGACTGGTATTCATACGTGGAACTATATTTCTATAGGCAACATACCTTTTACCCTGCTCATGTATAAAAAATGTTACAGTTCCAAAAAGATGAGGCAGTAGTCGTGCTATGATGTCCTTAGTTGGAATTAGCATTGAATTTCCTTTAAAATATTGTCCACAATCATGCATGATATCGCCTAATTTGACGACACCATCTCCATTGGTATAGTTTATACACAACCTAAAAAAACAGTTTATATATATATATATACATACTGGTTTGAATAACATTCATTGGACCTGTTACAGCTTACTTTGCAGTGAGATTCCAGGCTCTGTACTCTGACCTATAATTGCTTAAATTTAAAACTGTAGGTGTTGGATGGAGTGATGTTTCATTGGCAATAATACCACATCTTCTTATGTTTATACAAGTATAATAATATTCCAGCAAATTTATATGTTTAATCTAAATGCATATATATACTATATGCACTTGTCCAAAGTCAGGAGCCTATTTTTAGTGTTAGACAAGAAATGTTTTCATGTTCTAGAAAAATTAAAAAATACTGATATATACAACCTTTTCGTACTCATAAAAAGCAAGCACCAGGCTTATAAGTTAACCTATTGCAAAAAGTCTCTCAGAAACAAACCTCATAAAAAATATTAATTTTTACCAATGAACCATTAAAATTAGGTCACATTCAACTAACACCTGCCAGACAGACAAACACAGCTGATAATTATTCTATCCCTATAGTATTTGCAAAAACAGACGAAATCACAGAAATTTAACATTGATCAATGAACCATGAAATAAGGTCAAGGTCGGATGAAACTATCCAGACTATTATATATATACCTTACAATCATTCAGTAAACTAAATATAGTTTACTTCTTCCTTATAGTTTCTGAAAAACAGACAAAATCAGAAAAAAATAACATTGAACAATGAAAATGAGGTCAAGGTCAGACAATTATTGTCAGACAGACAAGTATACCTTACAAACATTCCATACCCCAAATATAATTGATTGAATGCTGATAGTATCTGAGAAATCAGACACATATAATATCTCTGGAGAAATAGACCAAAACACAAAAAATTTACTTTGAGTCAATTGATCACTGAACCATAAAAATGAGGTCAAGGTTAGATGACACCTGCCAGTTGGACATGTACACCTTACAATCATTCCAATTTCCATACACCAAATATAAAAGACCTAATAGCTTATAGTATTTGAAATATGGACGTGACAACGAAAACTTAACCTTGTTCACTGATCCATGAAATGAGGTTGAGGTCAAGTGACAGACATGAGGACCTTGCAAGGTAAGCCTATACCAAATACAGTTATCCTATTACTTATAATAAGAGAGAAATTAACATAACAAAAAAAAACACTTTTTTTTTATCAAATAGTCAGTCACTGAACCATGAATATGAGGTCAAGGACAATAGTCATATATGACAGACGGAAAGTTTGTAATATAAGGCATCTGTATACAAAGTATGAAGCAACCATGCCTTCTACCTTCTGAAATACTAAACTAGAGCTAACACAGCCGTCGCCGGATCAATATCTATATTTCTGCGAGAGAAGTCGCAGGCGAGACCAAAAAGGATTGCCTTTTCACGTACCATTACACTACAAATATGGGTCAGTTTGGGGCAAACAGAAATATTTTTAATGCTAGCACAAGGCTCCACTGAAAGGGCATACTGTGACATATAATTGCTTATATTTATGACATTTTGTTTTAAAAGGAGAGTTGTCTCAGTAGCAATCATACCATATCTTCCTATACACATATAAATTTATATACTTAATCTAAGTGTTATATTTTTAAAACTGAAGCAGATCCCCCTCCCCCTACATTGGTGTAAATGTTGTTTTTATACAATTTTATATCTTGTAGAAGTATCATTAATGAAATGAAACTGAAACACCACAAAAGGGTTGCAGTAACTGCCACTACAGATATGACCAGCACACAGCTTGGATTTGAGGCTACTACCCTGCATCACTGGTCTGGTATTTTGGACGGGCGGTATATCAAAGACCAAATGAAGGAATTATATGACCATGATGACCGATTTGCTGATGCTACATTGTAAATTGAGGATCGAGCAAACAGAGTGTTTAATGATTGATGAAATTAGTATGTTGTCCAGAAAAATTCTTGAACTGCTGGAATCTGTTTGCAGGCATGTTCGAAGAAATGAAAACATGTTTGGTGGAATACAGGTAAAAAAACAAAATTCAAACTTGATCTGTGTTTTGAGGTAATAAGCATTGTGTATAAGTTTCATAATATTTGGTTGAGGCAAACTTAAGGTGTAATACCACCAAATCATAGTACGTCACATCCGGTTGCATACGAAAATAGGTCGAAAAAAAATATTCCCTTGAATTTGACAGTTGTAGGTAATTGATCCTACATTTCATTGCAGTAAAACATTTCTGGGTCATAAACATATATCTTGGGTATTTCAAAGCACCATTATTTTTTTTTTTGGGGTTTCTATAGAATATTTTGGAAACTTGAGGTTACATGGTTACTAAAGCTTGTACACAGGTTAAAAAAGGGGGAAAATTTGATTGGTTAACTTCCAGTGATGGTTATTTTCTTATATGCAATGAAATGTTATGTGAAATTTTTTCTATAGTACTGGACAGGATCAAACTTTACTCATGCCAAGTATTTCTTTATTTGAAACAAAGATAAATTCTGCACAATTTTTTGAAAAGTGCAAATTTAACAAAGACTAATAGGGGAAAATCAATGGTGGTATTACACCTAATATGGGAAGCTGTACATGCACCTTTGACCTTGTGAGTACTCTCATGTGTTAAAATTTCTTGCTATTTAAGTGAAATATTACTAATAATGAAATATTCTGAGTGGATTGAGTCTCCAAAACACATTTTATGAGAAAATTTCCTTGAAATAGGACTTTACCATGAATATTAGTTGACAGAATAAGCCATACTTAGAGTTTTGGGGAGCTTTTTCTCCTTTTTTCTTATATTCTGCTATACTAGAAAATTTTTCCTAAGAAATACTTTAATAAATATATAGTTTTAAGTAAATGAAATTATTTTTAAAGCAGTAACAACAAATTATTCACCAAAAGAGAAGCTTTTTATGTCCCTCTCTGGAACGCGGCGTAAATTTAAGTTTTACGTAAGGACTTATGGAAACCTCCTTGGAGACAGTAAACTTTTATACGGATAGTTCATTCAGCTTGAATACTTCAATTAATCATTTATTATAACATTTCTATCATAAATGAGTGAAAGTTACCCCAAAATTTTTATTTATTGGCCTATAAAGTAGAAATTTTGAGGAAATGAGAGGTATAAAAGGACCAAAAGAGACCTTATAAAGAAGACAAAGAGGTCCATTAGTAGTATTTATCATCCTAAAGTCATCTTTTGTATCATATTCAACTGTTTGTAGGCAGATGAGATAAATATTTGATCATTTATTGGTCCACACTATATTCTATCATGATGCGGCTTGGTTTGGATTTTCCGAAGAAATTTAGCTCGAATCGATGTAGATGTCGTCTTACATTATACTAGATTTTTCTCAAACTATTGAACTGATTATGACAAAACTTGACAGGAATGCTTGAAATAACCAGTATTACAAAGGAAAAAAGTCACATTCAGTTTATTTAACAAAAAAGTCTTCTTTAGGTGTAATACCACCAAATCATAGTACGTCACATCCGGTTGCATACGAAAATAGGTCGAAAAAAAATATTCCCTTGAATTTGACAGTTGTAGGTAATTGATCCTACATTTCATTGCAGTAAAACATTTCTGGGTCATAAACATATATCTTGGGTATTTCAAAGCACCATTATTTTTTTTTTTGGGGTTTCTATAGAATATTTTGGAAACTTGAGGTTACATGGTTACTAAAGCTTGTACACAGGTTAAAAAAGGGGGAAAATTTGATTGGTTAACTTCCAGTGATGGTTATTTTCTTATATGCAATGAAATGTTATGTGAAATTTTTTCTATAGTACTGGACAGGATCAAACTTTACTCATGCCAAGTATTTCTTTATTTGAAACAAAGATAAATTCTGCACAATTTTTTGAAAAGTGCAAATTTAACAAAGACTAATAGGGGAAAATCAATGGTGGTATTACACCTAATATGGGAAGCTGTACATGCACCTTTGACCTTGTGAGTACTCTCATGTGTTAAAATTTCTTGCTATTTAAGTGAAATATTACTAATAATGAAATATTCTGAGTGGATTGAGTCTCCAAAACACATTTTATGAGAAAATTTCCTTGAAATAGGACTTTACCATGAATATTAGTTGACAGAATAAGCCATACTTAGAGTTTTGGGGAGCTTTTTCTCCTTTTTTCTTATATTCTGCTATACTAGAAAATTTTTCCTAAGAAATACTTTAATAAATATATAGTTTTAAGTAAATGAAATTATTTTTAAAGCAGTAACAACAAATTATTCACCAAAAGAGAAGCTTTTTATGTCCCTCTCTGGAACGCGGCGTAAATTTAAGTTTTACGTAAGGACTTATGGAAACCTCCTTGGAGACAGTAAACTTTTATACGGATAGTTCATTCAGCTTGAATACTTCAATTAATCATTTATTATAACATTTCTATCATAAATGAGTGAAAGTTACCCCAAAATTTTTATTTATTGGCCTATAAAGTAGAAATTTTGAGGAAATGAGAGGTATAAAAGGACCAAAAGAGACCTTATAAAGAAGA